TCCAAAATTAAGAATTTGGAAATTATTTACATATTTATTATTTTCAAATAGACTTTGTAATAGTTTAGATAGTATTTCTTTATTTACAAATTGTTTTTCAGTATCTTTTTTCTTTATTTTTTAATCTGTGTTATCAAGCAATATCTGTGCCTATTTTTCAAATTAAATTTGCTTAGAAAAAAAATTATTATCAAACTTAAAATTAATAATTTAGAATGTAAAAAATTAATATGATTATGTTTTTACCATATATTATGATTACTACGGAATTTGTTCCTATCATTAAAAAAATAATAGTTAATATTTGTTGTCTAAACTTATATTTAATATATTTTTAATATTTTAAAAACTATTCACAGATATTTAATGTAATATATTATCTTTTAATTGTTTTTTAATGGAAAATTATTTATAATAATAATGATAAATGCATTTATTACTTTTAATATCATAGACCTGAGTATGAATTTCAGTGGTTATCCATGAAGATTAATAAGCTCATAAAGTAGGTCTCCTGAACTTTTCCTTTCTAAATAATTTGGTTTTAAGCAAATCTCAGCTATTTTATAAATATTAGACTTTCTATCAATCTAATATTTCGAAGCTATTGCTTTTCCTTTATGAATTTCTGCCTTTGTATCCAAGTCAATCCAATTATCATTTAGCACATTCAGATTATCTAGCTCAAGTAAAACTAGTCCTAGAGAAAAGATGTCCGACTTTTAAACATTAAAATTAAATTAATAATTTAAAGATTAGTTTTATTTAAAAACCTGAATTCTGGATTATCCCTTTTCTACCTCAGGAGCGAAGTAAGCATCAGTTCCTTTCTATAGATTAAAATAATGTAAGATTAATATTAAATAATATTTCGATGTTTACCTTTGATAGGTAATGGCTTTTCGATTTTGTTACTGTAGATGCAAAACCTAAATCACCTTTAGTTTTAATAATTTTTTAAATTGATAAATTTTGTGATAATTAAAATTTTTTACAGAGCTTGATGGTAAATCCATAAGTTTGAGAAGGGGAAACTAGGTAATTGTGAGGTTTGATATCCCTGTGCATGATATTTTTGACATGAAGGTTATTCAATCCTTCTAACATTTGAATAGCTATTACTTCCTTTATTTCATTAGGAGGTGGCTATGTATTTCTGAAAAAATCGAAGAGCTGTTTAAGATTTTCTATTTATAAAATACAAACAAATATTTTTATTAATTAAGAAATAAAACAAAAAATTTTCAAAATATTTTGTTTAATTTGAAATTAAAAGCTTGAATGAAAAAATTTTTCTAAATTAAAATTAATAATCAATATTCAATAATTTAAACTAATTTTTTAAAAATTTTAATCTATTTTTAATTAAATTAATACTTTTTTTCTATTAATATTTAATTAATAATTTTTTTCTATTAATCAATTAAATTATTTAAAAATAACAAAAAATTAATTTTTTCATTAGACTATATTTAATTTTAAATTATTTAATTTTATATTAATTTATTAGACAAATTTAATTTATGTTTAAATATTAAAAATTATTATTTAAATTAAAAAAAATATTAAAAAATAAAATTAATTAAGAAAAAGTTTGATTTATTTTAAATTAAAATTTATTAAAAATAAAAATTATGATTGAATTATTAAATTAAAATAATGTTTAATGAAATATTTGTTGAATTTAATTTATATAAATTTTATTCATAAATATTGTCAATTATTAAAAAATAAAATTTAATATATTATAAAATTAAATTTCTAATTATAATACTGGGGAAATAGATTATAAAATTTTGATTAATTAATGTTCTAGAAGATTTAATTAAAAACCTTATAAAATTCAATGAAAATTTAATTAAAAAAAACCTTATTTATGGGGAATGAATTTTAAAAATTAAAAGTAATAAAATTTTATAAATAAACAATTTCTATTATATTTTCAAAACTAATTAATTAAAATAGCTTAACGCAAATCTATTTTTTCTTTAAAATTAATCAAATCCAAAGATACTTAGAAAAAATATTAAATTGACTTTTTTAAAATGGTGGAACTTCAATTATTGTAAAAGTGATAAAAAAAATACTATCATATTTTATGAGCTTCTTCATCGTTTTTAAAAAATTTGGGAGGTGAAAAAAAAATGGATGAAAATTATAATGTTGATTACACTTGCAAAGCTCCATTTCCATCACAAAAAAGGATTTCTCTTATGTTATGACTACTTTTTCGAAACCATTTTCATCATCTTCAACATCTTCTTCCATTAAATAGAAGCAATCATAGACATTTACCAAAAAATCAGATTAGCTGAACTTCTGAAGCATTTCATATTCTTTTTTCAAAGATTCGATGCCATTCTTGTCCTCTTTGTTCGTAGATATTAGGAATTTAAGCGCAACAGTACGATTTGCCTTAGTGTTATTAGCTCTCAAGACAAGAGCGTAAGCACCGCTACTTAAGTACTCGAAATTTTAGAAATATTTTCTCTGACTGAACATCAATTTGATTATATCTCTCAAACTCCCCTTTTGAATCTGGCAATCCTTGGGGATATTTTATGAGATTGTATTGACTAATTAGCTTTAAGATACTTTAGACATTTTTGTTATTGATTAACGCTATGAGATTAGGGGGGTTGGCTGGGTTACTAACTTACTAAGAGTAGGCTGAGAGGTTTGCTTTTTTACTAAAAACAGGTGTTTTTATTTCAATGTGAAAACTATATATGCAAAAGTGATTTTGAATGTCACTATTTATAGAGATTAATTCAAAGAAATTAGATTAATTTGGCAGATAAAAATAAGCCTTATCAAAAAGAAGATTTAATTAGTTTTCAAATATACTAACATCTCTTCAATTAAATCGTTAAATATTCACATACAAATAAATAAAAATATAATAAAATAATGAATTGAATAATTAAATTAAAATATACTTTATTTTCAAATATAAAATAATTATTATTTTTATAATAACAAGAATGAACCATAATATTTGAAGATAAAATTATTTTAAAAAGTTTAAATATTAAAATTTGCATAATCATTTAATAGAAATAAAAAATTGAAAGTCTAATTAGAAAAAATATGAATGCCTCAAAGAAACTCAATGATAGATATTAGTGCTTTGATGAGCTAATATCTAATTGATTTACCCTATTGTAGGTATATGGCTTTTAACTTAGCCTAATAACATAGATTTAGTAGAAATTTATTAGCTAAACATCTGCATAGTTAGATTAGTTTCTTTCGGCTCTCTAAGTCTTTGATTACTTTGGTGGAATGAAATTTCAGGTTAATATTTAAAAAATTAAGTGAATGAATAATAATTTATTAATTTAAAAACACTTTTATTTTCATACAAAAACATCTATCTATATTAATTAATTGATTTATAAGGAAAAAGTCTTAAATGATTTCTCAATATACTAATATCTCTTGAAATTTTATTTTTTCTTTCGCTAAGGCAACAAGCAGTTTAAAGTAGTCAAAAATATTTTTCATTTTTCCTTTTTAAAAAGTTCATGATAAATACTTTTCTAAAACAACTTATTTGTTGGATTTTTACTCTATGAATTACATTTTTAAAAAAAATCCTAAAAATTTTTATGAATATTTGTTATTCTATTTAAAAATATCAAAATGAAAAAAACTTCACTTTTTAACATATTTAGGTAAATTAAATTTGATTATTTCAAGATAAAAATAAATAGATAGATATTATTTTGTTAATAACATTATTTAATTAAGATATTTTACAAGCTAGCTTTTTAAAAATTAAAAAAACTATAAATCAAAATCTATTCTTATCATTAATATTTTCATGCAAAAAAAAAATATTAAAAAATAAAGGCCTTTCAAAAAAATAATGATAATTTAATAGATTTTATAAAGGCATTCAGTTATAAATATCTAAATAGAAATTGATTTGCTTTACAAAGGAAATTAAAAAGGAATAAAACTAAATTTAAAAGCATTAAAAAAATAAATAAAAGTCAAACATTTGTTCATTTGTTGGGATTATATTTTTAAATGATAATTAGAATTTATAATTTATTTTAAATATTTTATTTTTAAAATAAATACAATTGCATCAAATCAATCAATTCAAAGTCTAACATAAAGTGTATATTATTTAATTTAATATCTAGTCACTATTAATTTTTTTATCAAAATATTTTTTTATTACTATTTTTTTTTATTAAAATATAAAAAGAATCTCGATATAATATGATTATTTTTATAATTTTTTGATTTGAAATATTTTATAAGAATGATTCAAGAAATAATAATATTTCATAGAATTGAGATAGGAAATCTAGTTTGTTCTAAATTAATTAAATCTGAAATTTTCTGATCATAAAAATTTAATTTTGAGCCAAATAATTTTTACTATCAAATATTTAAATTAGATGAAAGAAATTATGTCTTTCTATTTTAATTAAGAATTCTTTGAAAATACTTCTAAATTGCGGGAATAAATTATTAGGAACGAATTTATAATTACTAGTAAAAATGGATTCATTTATAAGAATTACTAATTTATACATTATTGATGAAATTTTTAACAATAAATAAATTATATACTTTAACTATTTCGTGATTTAACTTAAAAATTAAATTGAATTTTTTATTTAAAATATATTTTAAAATTTTATTGAATTGATTTTATTTAACTCATTCAAACTTTTCTTTATTAATGTTTGTCTACTTAGAATTTATTTTTGATGCAAATTCGCTTTAATGATATTCGTAATTTGATTGAATAAAAGAAATTCATTTATACATTCTCAGAGATATGAATAATCTATTGATTCTATCAAATATTTTGATTTGGTAAATATGTATTTGTTAAGAGTTATTTTCTGATAAAAGCGCCTTATAGAAGAAATAAATACATTGAACTCTCCTTACATAATAAATATTAATAAAAATTGTTATCAGATAGATATCTTTTAATATTCTATAGATTAAATTATTAATAAAAGACTAAATAAATGAATCAAATAGATATGGTGGATAGTCAAGTGCTTTTTAAATAGGGAATTGACTTTTAAAAGTAAAACATGTTAGATGAGGCTGTAGAATGCTTTAAAAAAGTTTTAGAAATTGACGCTAATAATACGGAAGCATTATACAATCTAGCACTGACTTATTAGTCAAAAAAATTAATAGATGAGTCTCTTGTATATCTTAATAAAGTATTAGATTTAAACCCAAGCCACGTGAATGCATATATAAGTAAGGCAGGTATTTATTTAGAATAAAAAATCCTAGACTTCGCTATTAGTTGCCTTAAAAAGGTGCTCGAAATTGATCCTTATAACGCGAATGCTCATGAAAGATTAGGATTCACCTATAAAGCATAAAATCTTATAGATTAAGCTATAAAATGCTATAAAAAAGCTATTGAGATAGATCCAAATTGTACAGAGGCCTATCATAACTTAGGTATTGTTTATGAAGGTAAAGGCCTGATTCAATAAGCTTATTAATGTTACTTGAAAGCCCAAAGTATAGATCCTAAATACACTAAATCTTATATTAGTTTAGCTCGTAACTATTATTTAGATTTCTAAATTTAAGATGCGATTAAAAGCCTCAAAAAAGCTATAGAAATAGAACCGAATTCTGTTGAAGCTTATGAAAGACTTGGCTTTGTTTATTAGAACGAAAAAAATAATTCAGAGGCTATAAAATATTACAAAAAAGCAATTGAAATAGACCCAAACTATTATAATGCTCAATTTAACTTAGCGCTAATTTATTAAAATTAGAATAACTTTGATGATTCTTTTTAATGCTATAGAAGAGCAATAGAGATTGATCCAAAATAAGTAGATGCTTACAACAACATAGGACTTATATACTATTATAAAGGTATGATAAAAGAAGCGCTTGAATCCTACAAGAAAGCACTTGAAATAGATCCCAAGTATTACAAAGCATATCACAATTCAGCTCTTGCTTATGAGAAAGAAAAATTGATAGATGAAGCCATTTAATGCTATAAAAAAACAATTGAAATCAACCCTAGTTTTCTTAAATCCTTGACAAGACTAGGAGATATTTGTATTGATAATAATCTGCTAGATGAAGGAATAGAGTGTTTCAAAAAAATCATTCAATTAGATCCTTAAAGTTATTTTGATCATTATAGCTTAGCAGATTTGTATTATAAAAAAAATATGTTAGTAGAAGCAATCAATCACTATAAAATTACACTTGAAATAAACCCATAATAATTGAGCGCTCATTTATATTTAGGTATTTCTTACAAAAAATAAGGAAATTTAGAAGAGGCTTTGCAATGTTATAAAAAAGCAATCTAATTAAATCCAAATAGTTAAGAAGCACATTTTAATAGCGGTATTGCTTATTCACATTTAGGAAATGTTAAAGAAGCGCTAGAATGTTATAAAAAGGCTTTAGAAATTAACCCAAAATTTGTGAGTGCATTAATTAATTTAGGAGCTCTTTATACAAATCAGAAGATTTATGAGGATGCTATTAAATGCTATTAAACTTTGCTCACTATAGAAGAAAATAATTTAGATGGCCTAAATAATTTAGGGTATATTTATTCTTAGAAAAATATGTTTGACGAGGCTATCAATTACTTTAAAAAAGTAATAGAAATAGATCCAACATATTATTTATCTTATTATAATATCGGAGTAGCTTATGAATCAAAGCAAATGCTTGATGAAGCTTTAGAATATTATAATAAAGTAGAAGAAATGAGTCCAAAATACTTTATTGTCTTTGTTAGATAAGGAAATGTTTACTCTTAAAAGAATATGTAAAATGAGGCATTTTAATGCTACAATAAAGTCAGTGAATAAATTTTAAAGAACATTTATTCTTTAAGCGAGGAATTAGAAATTAGTAGAGCAAGCTTTGTTTAGGAATCTATCAAAAACTATGAAGATGCTGTTAAGCTGAATCCAAAATATATTTAGTTTTATCATAGCTTAGGATTACTTCACTCAAATATAAATTAAATGGAAGAAGCTATGCGTTACTTTTAGGCAGCGATAGAATTAGATCCTAAGTACATAAATTCTTATCTTGAATTAGGCAATATCTATTCTGGTAAAGCAATATATGATAAGGCACAGCAATGCTTAGAAAAAGCACTAGAAATAGATTAAAATAGTGCCTCAGCGTTAAATAATTTTGGATTATTCTATTTTACTTAGAAGATGGATGATAAAGCTCTTGAGAGCTTCAAAAAAGCTTTGGAAATAAATCCAAATTATGAACTAGCAATTTACAATTCTGGACTCGTCTATGAATCAAAAAATTTAATTGATAAAGCTCTAGAATGCTATAAAAACGTACTATTAATAAATCCTACAGATAAAAAAGCACTTTCTAAAATTGATTAATTAAATTAAAAAGATGGAAAAAATAATGTAAATTTGGAAGAAATACTTTAAGACGCAAACAAGAATCTTAAAAGTGCTAAAGATTTCTACCAATAAGGGTTTGTTTACTATATTTAAAGGAAAGATGCAAAATCTATAGAATGTCTAAAAAAGGCTATTGAATTAGACCCGAAATATTTTGATGCGTACGACAAATTAGGTCTTCTCTACAAAGAAAAAAAAATGATTTCATAAGCCATTGAAAGCTATAAAAAAGCTTTTGAAATAAATCCAAAATATTACAGCGCTATTGGAATCATTATGGGACTATATAAAGAAAAGAAAATGATGGATGAAGCAAAATAATTTCACAAAAAAGTAATCGAAGATAATCAAAATAGTACACAAGCACTTGCGTAAATAGGAGAGGCTTATCAGGAAAACAAAATGTTTGATGAAGCAATTGATTGCTACTAAAAAATAACTGAATTAGAGCCTTTTAATGTTGATGTTTATATTGAAATAGGAAATATATATCTAGATAAATAAATGAATGATTAGGCTCTTGAGTGTTTCGAAAACGTACTTCAAATAAATCCTTAAGAAATTATCGCTCATAATAATATAGGATTAGTGTATTATGAAAAGAAAATGTTTGATAAAGCTCTTGAACATTATAACAATGCGCTTTTAATAAACCCTGACTTTTAATAATCAATTTACAATTCTGGTCTTGCGTATGAATCAAAAAATTAAATTGACAAAGCACTAGAATGTTATAATAGAGTTCTATAATTGAATCCAGATGAGGAGAGATCACTCACTAGAATAAAGAAAATTAGCTTACAAAATAAAATTTTAGAGAAAAAAATTGATAAAGCTCCAAGCACTGCTAAAGAATTTTATCAATAAGGATATCTTTACTTTTAATAGCTTAAGGATGAATAATCTATTTAATGTCTTAAAAAAGCTATTGAGCTGGATCCAAATTACTTTGAAGCTTATGATAAGTTAGGACTTGTCTACAAAGAAAGAAAGATGTTTAATGAAGCAGTTTTGAATTATAAAAAAGCTATTGAAATAAATCCAAATTGTCTGAATGCTATCAAGGAGGTCATGAATATTTACTTGGACAGAAAAATGCTCAATGAGGCTAAAGAATTCTACGATTAAGTTCCTAAAAACTTAGATACATACTATGAATTGGCAGTAGTTTACTAAACTCAAAAGATGCTTGATGAATCAATAGCAATTTATAAAAGAATTATTGAGCTTAATTCAAAATATATTAAAGCGTATATTTAATTGGGTAATGCTTACTTAGATAAACCTCAGTATGACTTAGCACTTGAGAGCTACTAAAAGATAATAGAAATAGATCCTAAGAAAGCTGTTGCATATAACAATATTGGACTTGTGTACTTTAGATAAGGTATGAATGATGAAGCTCTAGAGTATTTTACTAAAGCAATAGAGGTAGAATCAAAATATGATTTATCTATGTACAATTCTGGCCTTGTATATGAAAAAATGAATTAGAAGGATAAAGCTCTTGAATGGTATAAAAAGGCTTTTGCTGCTAACCCAAACAACAAAAAATCCTTGTCTAGAATCGAATTTTTAAGCAAAAAGAAAGAAGATCCAACTATTGATTTAGAGAACTAAGAAAGTAATCTTCAAACAGCAAAAGATTATTATGAGCAAAGTATTAAATATTACAATTAAATCAAAGATTTAGATTCAATAAGGTGCTTAAAGAAAGCAATAGAGTTAGATCCAAATTATTTTGAAGCCTATGACAGATTAGGTCTTGTACATGAAGAAAATAATAGATTTGAAGAAGCGATTGAAAACTATAAAAAGGCTATTGAAATAAATCCATAATCATTTGATTCTATTAACAGCTTAATGAATATCTACTTAGATAAAAAGATGATCAATGAAGCTAAAGATTTTTACAATCAAGTCCCTAAATGTGCTGAAACTTATTATGAGTTTGGACTAGTATATCAAGATTAAAAAATGCTTGATGAAGCTGTTGAAAGTTATCTGAAAGCCATAGAATTAAATCCAAAATATATTAACGCTTTCATTTAATTAGGTAACGCTTACTTAGATAAACTTTTGTTTGATAAAGCTATCGAGTCCTATAAAAAAATAATTGAAATTGATCCTTCAAAAGCTATAGCTTATAACAATATAGGGCTTGTGTATTTCGAATAGGAAATGAATGATTTAGCTCTTGAATAATTCTAAAAGGCTATTGAGATAAACCCAAAATATGAGCTATCTCTTTATAACTCTGGTCTTGTCTATGAAAGGAAAGACTAAAATGATAAAGCACTTGAATGCTACAGGAAAGTTCTTGAAATAAATCCTAATGAATAGAAATCGCTTAGTAGAATACAAATTATAAAGTAAAAGCAAAATAAAACGTTAAATGAAAAATTTGACTTACTGAAAGTTTTATAAAAGAAATTAGGCAAAGAGTTTACATCAAAAGCTGAAGAATATTTCAAATAAGGATTTCTATATTTTATGGAGCAAAAATATGACATGTCAATAGAGTGTCTAAAAAAAGCTATTGAAATTAATCCTAACTACTGCGATGCCTATGAAAGATTAGGATTTATTTATGAGCAAAAAAAGATGTTTGAAGAGGCTGTAATTTATTACAAAAAGGCACTATAAATAAATCCTAAATTACTCAAAGTTATTAAAATAGTGATGGACATTTATTTAAATAAAAAAATGGTCAACGAAGCCAAAGATTTCTATGATTCAATAGCAAAGAACTCAGATACATACTATGAATTAGCATAGATATATCAAAATTAAAACATGCTAGACGAATCTATAAATAATTACTAGAAAGTACTTGAATTAAACAATAAAGATATTGATGCCTATGTTTCACTTGGTAGTGTTTATTTAAACAAGCTATACTATGAAAAGGCTCTTGAATGCTACTAAAAAATATTAGAAATAAACTCAAAAGAACCCGTTGCATATAATAATATAGGAATTGTGCATTTTAGATAAAAAAATGATGATTTAGCTCTTGAATATTTCAATAAAGCTCTGGAATAAAATCCAAAATATGAGCTATCTCTATATAATTCAGGGCTTGTTTATGAAAGAAAAAATTTAAAAGAAAAAGCTCTTGAGTGTTACAATAAAGTTCTTGCCTTAAACCCCACTGAAAAAAAAGCTTTATCAAGAATCAACGCCCTAAGTAATGATACTGATAAAATGGAAGTAGAAGAACAGCAATAAAATGTGTAAAAACAAGACACAGAATTTCAAACTGCTAAGGATTACTTAGATTAAGGGTTTAAATATTACAATAAATTGTTAGATGATAAAGCAATCGAATGCTACAAAAAAGCATTAGAAATTGATCCAAGTTATTTTGAAGCTTATGAAAAAATAGGACTTCTATAAAAAGCAAATAAAAAATTTGAAGAAGCAATAGAAAGTTACAAAAAAGCTATCGAAATTAATCCTAAATGCTATAGCGCTATAAAATCTGTGATGAATATTTATTTAGACAAAAAAATGATCAGTGAAGCAAAAAGTTTTTATGACTCTATTCAAAAATGTGCCACAACTTATTATGAAATGGGAATAATTTATTAAAGATAGAATATGATTGACGAGGCAATTTCTAATTATTAGAAGGCGATTGAATAAGATCCTAAATACAAAAGTGCTTACATTTAGCTTGGTAATTCTTATTTAGACAAAGTTTAGTATGATCAAGCTATAGAATGCTATAAGAAAGCATTAGAAATAGATCCTAATGATGTGATAGCTTATAACAATATAGGTCTAATTTATTACAATTAAGAAAAGATTGATTTAGCACTTGAATATTATAACAAAGCTATTGAAATTAATCCTAAATATGAATTGCCTATCTATAACTCTGGATTAATTTATGAAAAAATGAAGTTAAAAGAAAAAGCTCTTGAATGCTACAATAAAGTGCTGGAAATAAACCCTACTGAATAAAAGTCATTGAAGAGAAAGAAAATATTAGAAGATAAAACTTAAAAAGATGAATTTAATTTATTAAACGAATTAAATAAGAATATAATTTAGAATTCAAATTCTAAAGCTGAAGAATTCTTTTAAAAAGGATTTTTACATTACATTTAAGGGAAAGATGATGAATCAATACAATGTCTTTAATAAGCTATAGAAATAGACCCAAACTTCTACGAAGCTTATGGAAAATTAGGATTTATTTATTAATCAAAAAAAATGTTTGATGAGGCTATTGAAAATTATAAAAAAGCGATATAACTAAGCCCTAAAAGCTTAGAATCTATTCGTAATATTGTCGAAATATATCACAATAGAAACATGTTGAATGAAGTCAAAGAATTTTTCAATTCGATACCTAAGAACACAGAAACCTATTACAATATAGGAAATGTCTTTGCTGATAAATACATGATTGACGAAGCAATAGATTATTATTAAAAAACAATCTAATTAAATCCATAACATATAAATGCTTACATTGAATTAGGTAATACTTATTTGAATAAAATACAGTATGAAAAAGCTTTAGAATGCTATAATAAAATAGTAGAAATTAATCCAAAGTAAGCAGTAGCATATAATAATATTGGATTAGTGCATTTTAAATAGAATAAGTATGATGAAGCAATTCAATTTTATAATAAAGCTCTAGAAGTAGATCCAAATTATGATCTATCTTACTACAACTCTGGCTTAGTCTATGAAACTAAGAAAATGAATGATAAAGCTCTTGAATGCTACAACAAAGTTCTTAAAATAAACCCAAATGATAAGAAAACATTAACTAGAATTTAAAAGATAAATGAAAACAAAGATAAAAATCTAGAAGAAATTGAAATTGATTTAAAAGCTGATAAAATTCCGTAATCTGCTAAAGATTACTTTATCCAGGGATCTACTTATTTCATTAAAAAAATTAAAGACCTATCAATAGATTGTTTGAAAAAAGCTATTGAAATAGAACCAAATTATTCTGAAGCTTATGACAAGTTAGGTCTTGTTTATCAATATTATTAAATGTATGAAGATGCTATTTAAAATTTCTAAAAAGCTTTTGAAACCAATCCAAAATGCTATGATGCTGTTCTCAGCTTGATGGCAATTTACTTAGAAAAGAAAACACTATTCGAAGCAAAAGAGTTCCATAATTAAATAATTGAAAAGAATCCTGATGTTCCTGAATTACATCATAAGATAGGAGTAGCTTATTAAGAAAAAAGTATGTTTGATGAAGCAATAACTTGTTTTTCTAAAGCCATAGAATTAAATCCTAAATACGCTAATGCATATATTAAATTAGGTAATATTTACTTAAAATAAATTAAGTACGAAAAGGCTCGCGAGTGTTACGAAAAAGCAATAGAAATAGACCCAAAATAGGTAGTTGCTTACAATAACATCGGACTTGTTTATTATAATCTAAAAAACGATGACTTGGCACTCTCATATTACCAGAAAGCACTATAAATAAATCCTAGGTACATACTATCTCTTTATAATTCAGGACTCGCATATGAAATGAAAAACTAAAATTAAAAAGCCTTAGAGTTTTATAATAAGGCTTTGGAAGTTGATCCGAATGATGTTAAGACACTCACAAGAATGACTTAGTTACTTTTAAAAACAGGAGGTATAGATGAACCTGATGTAGATAATTTACTCTCAGATTTTGGTATCAACGTGTAAAAGAGTGCTATTGATTATTACAAACAAGGCTATTCTTACTATACCAAAAAGATGAAGGACTAATCAATTAAGTGTCTTAATAAAGCAATAGAAATGGACCCAAATTTCTTTGAAGCATATGACAAATTAGCTCTCATTTATGAAGAAAAGAAGATGTTAGACAAGGCAATAGAAAATTACAGAAAAGCAATTGAGAAAAATCCAAATTTTATTAATGGTTATAATAAATTAGGTAACATATACCTAGAAAAAAAAATGTTTGATGATGCGATTGTCTGCTATTAAAAATGCTTAGAAATAGATCCAAATTACTATTATGGATACTACAATTAGGCAATAGCATACGAGGAGAAGCAACTTGATAGCTAAGCTATTTATTGCTATAAAAAGGCAATAAATATTGATCCTACTGGCATCAATGCATATATTAATTTGGGAATGATTTACCAAGACCAAGAAAAGGCAAGCAAATCTCTTTCTTGCTTTAAAAAAACTCTTGAAATTGATGAAGAAGATTTTGAAGGAATTGATTTCTTAAAACAAACTAAATCTTAAATTTGATAAAATTAATCAATAAAATTATAAATATTAAATGTGATTTCATTAACTAAAAATTTCTTGTTTTTCTATTGCTAATCCTGTAATTAAAATATCACGAACTGTGTAGGTACAGATGGTGATATTTCATTTAATTTTTATGATTTTAAGTTAATTTTACACTTTCTATTTTTAATTTTTTTTATCAACCTATTTTTATTAAATTTTAAAATATTTTTTTTATGTTTAATTTCTCAAATTTTGAACATAATTTTAGATGTAACTTACCTCAATACTCGAAATTCGTAAAATTTCAAAAACGGAGTATTACGGTATTTGAACTAAGTCAAATTAATTGCTTAAGAGAAAAATAAAAATAGAACAAAAGAGAAGATTTGCATTTTCTGTTGTTGATAATTTTCATTTAAAAACATTTTTTCTAACTTTCGACATTAGGAAACTTTGAGAAAATTAGAAAAAAATAGAACATTTTGTTGGATTTCTTCTCTAGGAATTATTTTTTGAATAGTAATAGTATTTGTTTTAAAATTAAAGATGAATATAGATTCTATCCTTTAGTATTTTCTTTAGTTTTTATCTAAAAAATTAGTATGAAGGTGTCGATTTTCATTGCTAAAAACCAATACTCAAGCTGATGATATTTAAAATTTTACATCATTATTTTAAATTAAATTTTAAAAAAATAAATTAAATTCTAAAAAATTAATGTAATTTTAAAACAAATAGTTTTAAAAGGTGATATTATTTTCTTTTAAGTGAAAAACAAAAAATATATTTATAAATTTGGCTCAAACATCTATATTAAGTATTGTTTATTTTAAATCAAATAAATTATACAATTTACCAAAAATATTTTTGGATTGATTATATTTAATGTATTTTGAAATCAACAAGATCATAAAAAATGACTTTATTAACTCTACAAATACCATTTCTGTTAGAAAAGATATTATAAATAGGATTATAAATTAATTCGACTCGCTTGGAGTTTTACCACTAGATACTGCTAAAATGACATAGTAATAAACTAAGCTTATTACTATTTACAAAACTAGAGATACGGTTTTACCTATTTTACCCTTTTTGAATGTATGTATAATCCCAAAAAAAGCAATCTTCATTAATGAGCTGTTTATTATAGCTATTATTACCTGCTAAATGAGCATATTATAACCTTAGAACAATATTGAAATAACTAACGTGTGTATTGTTTTTAAGTAAAGCAGAGTGAATCTTAATGGTCGTGAAAGGATATCATCAAAAATATAAAAAATACTAAAAAATTAATGAAAAATTGCTACCTTCTTCGCTTTAGGAAGTTACAAATAAACATTTATTTTTTAGATTTCTTCTTCATCTTAAACCTATTTTATTTCAGTTTATGAGTTTGCTTGAGTTTTGATTCTTTCAACACTTTTAGAGCTTGATTGTTATTTTTAGTTTGATTCAGTCTTCTCTACGTTCATTTCAATATTTTGTTGTTAAAATAGTTTTAAGTTTCTTTATGTTTGTTATGTTTATAAGTTGAGGAATTTTTATCTTTTTCTTCTTCTATTAAATTAATTATCTATTTTTTAATCAGAAGGTGATAAAATCTATTGATTTTACAAAATTTCTGGTTAGACATTTTCATTGCTTTTAAACTGGTGAGTAAAAGGAGAGTTCTGGAATACATCATTATTTATCATTTAAGAATTTTCGCAAATATTTAAGTTATTATCATAAATTTATGATTATTATTCTTATTATTGTTATGCCTATTCTTATTATTCATTTTACAATTAATTATTTAATTCTTGAATATGAACTTTTGAGTATCTCATTTTTACTGAGTATTTGTCTAAGAATTTTCCAATTAAAAATAATAAAATTTGAAACAATGTGAAACTTAGCAATAGCCAAAATACTATATACATTTAAAAGTTATCAAAGCTTGCTATATTTAATAGCCCTTATTCTCCAAATGCTGTCTGCAGATTTTTATTTTTTAACAACATGTCATCAATATCTTCAATAATGGTTGTTGGTTTTTAGGATGCACAGCTGCACACGTAGCGATCTTAAGAAATTTTAGTGATACCACAATTTTATTAGCTCCAAGAAAGATTATTTTATTAAAGGCATGTCATTTTATATAACTTACTAGAATTTGTATTATTAAACTAGTAAATGATAGTAGACTGATTTAATGCTGCTTAAGAAGAAAAATTATAAATCTATGGTGATATTACTTCATTCTTAGAGTAAGTGAAGTTTTAACTAATATTTTTGAATTGTTATGTGTACGCCTAAAAATCTGAAGTATTTTCATATATGTTTTACTTATAATTATTTCTTGAAATACTAAAAATGCTAGTTTAATTTTCAGAATTGTCGTCATCTATACTTAGAACGTATTTGAATAGGTTTTTCTATGTTACTTTATCTGACAAATGAGTGGACAAGTCACCATTTAAAATAATTTGTCCTTAGTTTGGTAAGCTAATGTTATTAAGAAGATTTCCAATCTAACTCGATATTTTATCGTATGACTAAAAATCTTCGTATGAGTTATTACTTAACAAACTAACGCTTGAATTTAAAATTTTAAAAGAATCCACCATATTTTAAATTTAAATATCATTATTTTGTTGTAAATGACTAAGATTACTGCTTTATATGCTTGAATTAGTATTTTGGAGTATTGTTTACAGTTAACCAAATATTTTATTTTTCTATGTGGTAACATTGTTTTATTAAGATGAGCTAAAGAGTAGTTATGATAGCTAAGCAGTTACTTTGTTCGCAAATGTAGACAAAAGGGAGAATTTAGGTATTTAGAAAGAGAGTTGCTATATATTTTAAATCAGTAGTGTTTCTAAATCATTCATTTGCTATGAAAGTTATTGTTTTTACTAATGTCTTCTGCTATGATGCTTAAAATCACTAGTTAGTTAGTGACTTATATATTTGAGCTCTATAAAGTTTATGAAGTGAGTTGATTTACCAGTTTATAATATTCGTCAGCTGATTTATTCTAATCTTGAACCTATATTATAGAAGAGGTATTATAAACTCCTAGGTAAGAATCCATGACCTATACCATAACAACTAGATTTCCATTAGGTAGTACTGTTTAAATTAAGTTTTTGATAGTTTAATCTTATATTTATCTTCTTAATATATTCCAGGGAGAAATTAATTCTTGATGGGCATCATCAGCACTATTGTAATAGAAAAACTAGTAAGTTAGAGGAAGATCTTCATCTGTACAATTCAATAATTATATCTAGAAGATAGTTTCAAGCGCTATTCCTTATAAGGGATTTATACTTAAAACGCAATTCTGAGGGGGAATATTAATTTAAATGCTAACTGTAGACAAGCTTGGCATAACAAATAGCGGATTATAAACAGAAAATCTTATTTAAAGTGTTGGTTTTGAGGGATCTATATTTTAAAAATAGTTCCAAATTCTGAATCTAACTTGGAAATAATCAAATTTGATTGCTGCAACTGGATTATTATCATATAATATAGCTCCTGCATAAGACAAGTAATCTGATGAAACATTCTCACCATAATTTATTTAAAAATTAAGATCATCATTCAAATTAATTTTTCGGTTAGTGCTTGCTGCAATATATAAAATATTTAGTGGAGGAATATCTAATTCTGTGAATATACAAGTAGTGGTGAAATTTGATTATCTAGAATCTTTTTATCCAATAACAGTAATCTAAATTGCAGTGTATGGCTAAAACGTTTTAGCAGGAAATGAGATGTTTCTGACCCCTTGTTGCAATTAAATCTACTTATTTTAGTAATCATAGCAAATATGGTCATTAGAGGATAGGCTATTACACTTCCAACTAAAGTTGATATTTGAAGCAGAATTTGGATCTTGAATCTCATAATCCCTCGATTCAGTATTTAAGACCATTTAATTTTAATAGCCTAAAACAAGACTTGAGCCTCCAATAATTTGCAAATACAAATCTGTAATTTAAATATTAACTGATATATTTTGGATGGTAGTAATATTACTATCTGAACTCAAATTCAAAATTAGCTATTATTAAAATTGAATAATTAAAAATAAAAATAATTAATATTTGAACATTTTGAAGAGGTTTGATTTAAATTTAAACATTAAAATTCAATTTCTCTTTATTAATAACATGGGAATATTATTCAATAATTAGGAGGAATATTTCAAAATTACATATTTATTTGAATTAATTACATTTTTTGTTATAGCTAAATTAATTAAACAATTTAAGAACTATTATTTATATTTATCTACCCTTTAAAGGAAATTTGATAAATAGGTTTGTATGTTTTGATTGTGTTTCTTAATAATATTTATAAAAAATTTACACTCATATTAAAGGTTTAGTTAGATGCTAAGGAGTAAGAGAGAATATCATATTGAAAGCTTGTTTAGTTGTATTGAATTAAGCTTTCCTTTTAAAGCTAGTTAGAAACAAGTTGTAAATCAACAGGCTCATTAAAAAAAGTTATATGGCCTAACTCGCATATCTCTGTGTAAAATTAAAAGTAGAAACTCAAGCTCATAGATCTATTTATTATTTTAAAAATAAAAAATATTTATTGATAAAAATAATTAATTGTAAAGAAAATTAACCTATAAATTGGTGGGTACAAAGATTGCTAATAGTTGATTCTTATAAATTTTTATTTTTGATAAATAATTGTGAACATTTAAGAACCAGCTTAGTTAACCTTAAGTAAATAACTAAATTATATTGTTATATTAATATTTGGGGGTATGAATTTAGGATCTATTATTAAACTTGTGTTTTTGATTTAGCTTGCTTTTAATAAGATCTCCTTTATACTTTCTTACTACTCGCTACTTATCGAGCCTACAATTTAAATTAAAGTCCAATTTAGACTCATAAATTTTCTTCCTGCATCGTTTTAAATATTGTAAAGAGTTATATTTATAGAGTTACAGCTATTTTCTATGTGATTATAGCTAAATTAAAGTTAAGGGATTCCAGGGTACTCTTAGAAAGTAATGTTTCTATAAAATATGTTAATGAACGTGCCCGTATAATCTATAAACTGCAGCTTATTTGGCAAAAAATTAATTGAATTATTTTCCATGATTGTCGATGAGTCGCCTATTTATTAAAATAATTAAAATAAAATTAGATTAGATTAAAACATTTAAAAAATGAAAGTATTTATTAATAAATTTCATGAGTTGAATTATCTAATATTTAATAAAACTAAGTTACTTAAGTTAACCAAAATTCTATTCCCATTGATTTCGCATTAAGAATCTAACCCAAGAAGGCCTAGTGTTGTTTAATCAAATATCTATGAGCACAAAGACTAAGGTGTATTTGATATGATATTCATCAATGGAGATCCCAAGTCAATACTGAGCTATGGAGATGTAGAACTTAATTTTGCATCAATGACAGCAATATTTTCATAGCTACATTAATAAAATATATTCCTTGTATCGTTTTAGTTTTTGCAAAGGCATTTTTTACTTTAAACATCTATTTATCTTGTTTCATTATAGCAAGTCTGACATTATTAATTTTAAATCTATGACTAATCACATTTTTTACAGCTCGCATAGCAGGGATTGCATTATAGGCTCCAATAATTTTAGCATGAATCGCATGTATGAGCAGTAAAATTACTTTAAAACCCATTTGGACAAAGGCTTACACAATTTTTGTTGTAGAGAAAGGTGTTAGGGTAACAACTTAAACAATTGTTTGGGTCCTTTCCATCACAACTTGCACAACTTTAATCACATGATTAACATTATTACAATTATTAATTTGGAAATTAATTTTAATTACAAGATTATACACACTGTTTTGCAGCTTACTAATAGTATAACCCAGAGCTACAAGATAAACAATTAGTTTAACTTGGACCATCACAAGTTTAACAGGTTGGATCACAAATGCATTATTATGTGGTTTAATTATAATATAGTCCTATGTTACATGATAAACAGTTATTTGGATATGGACCTTTACAAGTTTTACAACCTGGATCACATGATTAGCACTAGCTCAATTAATTCACAAATTAGTTATAATCGCAAGAAGTTACACATTAGTTTGTTTTTTGCTGAAGGTAATACCCAGGATAGCATTATAAGCATAATTAATTAGAATCACACTATGAACAATTTATTTAGCACTATATTATGTTATAAATATTTTTAATTGGGAATTCATATTTAAAAAAATTAAATAAAAGCTGTTTATAAAATAAAATTGCATTTTATAATTTTAATTAAGGTTAAATTGAATCATAATTTTGGCTAAATTTATTGAGCCGAAGCCTATTTTCAAAAAAATTTATTCGGACTTTTTCTTAAAATGTCTATTTATTTAGTCTGACCATAATTATAATTGAAATAATTTTTTAATATTCTTATTAATTAACCAATATTATAGATATTAATAAATTTAATAATTAAATTTACCAATTATACAATTAGTACTAATTTTTACAAATAAATTTGATATTAATTCCCAATATTCCTATTAAATGGTGTTATTTTGAGTGTTAAACTATCTACATTTTACGATTATTAATACACACCATTTTAATTAAAAGAATATCCATTATTTTACTCAGTATAATATCCCATATCGCTTTGATAAGAGACATTATTTATTTCGACAATCGATTTTAAAGTATAGTCAGCAGGTAAAGCGGCTACAATTTAAAATATAAAGGTAAAGGAATATATCTTTGTATTCCTAATTTATTTATAAGATATTTTGAAAATTATATAAGAATATCAAATTAAAACATTAAAAATATTGTGATTTCTCTTTTTATATTAAATAAGTGAATTTAAACTGAAATTTTGATTAAGTAAACATTTAAATATTTATATCATAATTTTTCTTTTATTAGTAATTATTTTTACTTGTTTTCAGGAGTATATTTTATTGTTATATCATTATTTGAAGTACAGCTAGCCCCTGATAAAAAATATTAATCGCTAAAATAAATTTCATTTAAGCAATTCATGTCTAAGAAATATTTTTTCACATTGTCTATGTCAAATTGTTATGCAGGATAAAGGTAATTAATTATGCAATAACTAACTTAAATTTATAAAAAATTATTTAATAATAAAACTATAATTCAAAAGATATTTACAATTAGGATTAAAACCTTATTAAATCAGTTACTATTAGGTGCAATCTATCCATTGAAAAGTATATAAGCATTTTAAGACTATTAAATTATTAAAAGAAATTAATACTTTTGTATATAATTTATTAATGAAAAATTTGACTTTGTAAAATAATCAATAGAAATGTTCTGATTTTCTAAGTTTTCATTGTTAATTCAATTTATTTTTAGGGGATTCAGATTAATAATTTTTGTGATTTATTAAATATTATATGATAAATTGATCTCTTAAGCCTTTTTTAAGTAAATTATTCTAAATTAATTAGTTACCAACCAAACAAATAATAAATTAATACCATTTGAATTTATCTCGCCTAAGATTCTAATTTTAACAAAATAAATCCCTCTAAAGCTGTTTTTGGATGCAAAAATCTTAAAAATAACCCTTTTATTAAATGAAATACTTAGTAGAAGCGTTGGAGATATAAAAATTGCTGTAAATTATTATAAGCCATTTATTTGTTAATATGCAGGCTTTAAGCCACTTATTATTTACTGATTATTTAATTACAAATTAAGACTGTAAAGTAGAGCTTATACCCAAATCAAAATTAAATTATAGTTCATATATCCATTCCTTAATAAATAAATAAAAACTAAATTGAATTAGCTTAAATCGCTATTAAGATCATCACCTATCATTTCATCTTGTAGGATTTCTGCATGCTATTAAACTAGTAAGTACACACAAACCTTTTCTAATCTGTAATTTAAATTTATTTTTTTAATATTATTTTTGGGGGGGGGAGGGGTAGATAGAAGGGATTGAGCTTTTTAATCCCTCTTAAATACTCAATTTATGGTAATTTGGAGGGAACAAATATGTAAAAAAAATTTTTTTCATCCCTTCTAAATTCCTAAAAACTGAAATTTTGAGGGAACAAGTTTATTTAAAA